CGTAGCTCATATTGTGGGACTCTGAAACCACTGTGAATTGAGACACATTTATTGTACCAGTCAACCTACTATGTATTTTGAACAATATTCCAGAGGAAAAACAATACAACGTGGATGTTTTTTTTTTTAGTCTGATAACTCTCAGGAGGACGATGGGGAAAAAAGCACTTGGGTACTGATTAGACTAATAACCCATTTCATTGCTCCACATTCCAACCTTGTTAAACATTATCTAGTCTAAATATTGCATGATTCCACCAAATTGTAACCTTCTGCGCAATGGTGGAAAAAGTACCCAATTGTCATACTTGAGTAAAAGTATATTTTTTTGACACGCAAAGGCCCAAACGGCGTTCATTACATTACTTTCCCTGCTTTGACACAACCGTCTGTCACAGCTGTAGACCATCTGTAACCCATCTATCAAACACCTGCACCAGTAACTCTGCCCTACCAGACCACGAACTGTCTCAAATCGTAAAACCACGACAAGACAAGGCAACACCCAAAGACCAGTTACCCATCCCTGACACAGAGAACATTCTATCACAGCTTTCTTCACTCAGGGTATCTGCAGGTTCCATCAGGTTGAATTTAAGACTTTAAGATATTTTTAATGCCACTTGAAATGCAATTTAATACACATTTTGAGGTCTGCGTGGCCACAAACCTGCTAATATTCCCATATTTTTTCATGCTGTCGCCAATAGAAAAAATGAGTAGGCTAATCATCTTCTAATGCCATTCACAGTGCTTTAATAAAGAGGGGCGATAGACTACTGAGATGGTATTCAACTAACTTGTTCCATCTAGGCAGGAATGCATGACTGAAGATATTGATGTGCACTGCAACCTAATCCAGTGATTGTCATGAATTTTGGGTAGACAATTAGACTATTGTTGTTATATTTCAGTGTTAAAATAGGTCTCAATATGTTTAGTTAAATATAGATTAATTTGCTTACATCTTTATGTGCAATAATATCGCAGACTAATATATTTAGTGCTAATTCACCAACTGGTTAAATGGACATTCAAAAAACGTTAGCTAGATCACTACCTCTAAATATAATGTTCACTGGAAGTAGCCATGTAAAGCTATTATTAAATGTCCCCCCAAAAATTGTGCCGTCATAGCCTAATACCCAATGAGGCCGATGCGCCCGCAATGGGCGATGCTCATTTTACGCGCTCCGTATCTCAAACCCATATCAATATCTCGGTTGTAAAATAGACAGCTGAGAAATAAAACAAATATACCTGCATTTAAAAAAAAAATCTACCAGCCACTCAGATTTTTAACCAGCCAAAATATTTGTTTTGCCATAATTACACAAAGAAACACAATAAAACGGATTATCATGCTTAGTAATGTTTCTAAAACTACAAATGCATTACTAGTAAGAACTAATGTGGTATATTTCTCGATTTAATTTAATATTCTGTGACCTGAGTATTTTAATAAAAATATCAGACAAAAATGTTCAGCTGCCCCTTTAAGGTTACCTTGGTAACAGGACCACTGAGTAATCACTGTGCCAGTGAGAACGTCACAAGTAGAGGCCAACTGATGTCTCTTTTTGCTAGCAGTAGGAGCAAACTGAAACATTGAAAAGCAACCGAGCTTGTGAACAAAACAATGTAAATAGCCAAGAAACACGAGGACAAAGTCCAACTTTTATGTCTGTGCCCATTGGTTCTAAAAACAAATCTTTCAGCACTCACAGCCCCCCCAGACAGGCAGTGATTCTGCGCAAGGTGAGATAGCTATAACGTTAGGATTCAGATTTCTTAGTGCATTACCAGATATGAAACAAAACGGCAGAAATACTTTGAAAACAGCTACTGCAGCATTGATTTAGCTATAAATCACAACTTGCACTTGTGCCCATACATTATTATTTTTTATTAAACACTCACTGTAGAACCCAGAGTGTGACCACGCGCCAATGTGGCTGGTGAATTAGACATTCTTACCCGCCAATGCCAAAATATACCCGTGTTTGGCAGGTAGCGTGTTTAAATGTTAGGCCCCTGTGTATTACACAGGATAGCTGTATTTTTCTTATAAACTAGAGTGCAGTGGGAAAGGCAGTGAAAAGTGTGTCGCTCATTATCACTGCAGCAGGCCCCAACGAAACAGGCACATGGGTAGACGCTTTCATTAGAGGAATTATAAAGATAATGCACTTTACGATTTGACAAAATCATTTAATAGCTAATAGCTAATAGCTAAATAGTTAACTAGCTAGCTAACGAGTGAGCTAACTAACCAAGCAACAAGCAACGTTTCAAATTGGCTAATCTATTTTGTAGCCTAGCTAAGTAAGCTAGGCTACAAAATAGATTAGCCAATTTGAAACGTTGCTTTGTGTGTTTTTTTTTGCCATTATGGCAAGAGTTAAACAGCTGCTTAACATAGCGGTCACATTTTATAACACCATTAAACTGAATTTAAGACAATTTATGACATTTTAAGGCCTTTAATTTAGATACATGAATTTAAGACTTTTTAAGGACCCTGCGGACACCCGGTCACTGTTTTATTTTATTTTATCCAGCCTCCTGGCCTATTCACCCATACTCCCTTGGCCTCCAGGCCTATTCACCCATACTCCCTTGGCCTCCAGGCCTATTCACCCATACTCCCTTGGCCTCCAGGCCTATTCACCCATACTCCCTTGGCCTCCAGGCCTATTCACCCATACTCCCTTGGCCTCCAGGCCTATTCACCCATACTCCCTTGGCCTCCAGGCCTATTCACCCATACTCCCTTGGCCTCCAGGCCTATTCACCCATACTCCCTTGGCCTCCAGGCCTATTCACCCATACTCCCTTGGCCTCCAGGCCTATTCACCCATACTCCCTTGGCCTCCAGGCCTATTCACCCATACTCCATTGTCTCCAGGCCTATTCACCCATACTCCCTTGGCCTCCAGGCCTATTCACCCATACTCCCTTGGCCTCCAGGCCTATTCACCCATACTCCCTTGGCCTCCAGGCCTATTCACCCATACTCCCTTTGCCTCCAGGCCTATTCACCCATACTCCCTTGGCCTATCTGCTGGTTTCAGGATACATCTCATCAACAGTGCCTCACAAAAGTATTCATCCCCCTTGGTGTTTTTCCTATTTTGTTGCATTACAAACTGTCATTTAAATTGCTTTTTATTTGGATTTCATGTAATGGACATACACAAAATAGTCTAAATTGGTGAAGTGAAATGAAAAAAATTACTTATTTCAAGAAATCCAAAAAGGAAAAAAACCCGGAAAAGTGGTGCGTACATATGTATTCACCCCCTTTGCTATGAAGCCCCTAAATAAGATCTGGTGCAACCAATTACCTCCAGAAGTCACATAATTAGTTAAATAAAGTCCACCTGTGTGCAATCTAAGTGTTACATGATCTCAGTATATATACACCTGTTCTGAAAGGCCCCAGAGTCTGCAACACCACTAAAATAGACAGCTGAGAAATAAAACAAATATACCTGCACAAAACTGAGAACATCCGCTCTTCAACTGTGACAAGTATTACCAGGGACTAAAACATTTTTTTTTTGCATACCAGCCACTGTAGCAGGTAAATGGCATATTATTATTATTATATTATAAGCAAGGGGCACCACCAAGCAAGCGGCACCATGAAGACAAAGGAGCTCTCCAAACAGGTCAGGGACAAAGTTGTGGAGAAGTACAGATCAGGGTTAAGTTATAAAAAAAATATCAGAAACTTTGAACATCCCACGGAGCACCATTAAATCCATTATTAAAAAATGGAAAGAATATGGCACCACAACAAACCTGCCAAGAGAGGGCCGCCCACCAAAACTCACGGACCAAGCAAGGAGGGCATTAATCAGAGAGGCAACAAAGAGACCAAAGATAACCCTGAAGGAGCTGCAAAGCTCCACAGCGGAGATTGGAGTATCTGTCCATATGACCACTTTAAGCCGTACACTCCACAGAGCTGGGATTTATGGAAGAGTGGCCAGAAAAAAGCCATTCCTTAAAGAAAGAAATAAGCAAACACGTTAGGGTGTTCACCAAAAGGCATGTGGGAGACTACCCAAACATATGGAAGAAGGTACTCTGGTCAGATGAGACTAAAATTGAGCTTTTTGCCCATCAAGGAAAACGCTATGTCTGGCGCAAACCCGACACCTCTCATCCCCCCGAGAACACCATCCCCACCGCGAATCACGGTGGTGGCAGCATCATGCTGTGGGGATGTTTTTCATCGGCAGGGACTGGGAAACTGGTCAGAATTGAAGGAATGATGGATGGCGCTAAATACAGGGAAATTCTTGAGGGAAACCTGTTTCAGTCTTCCAGAGATTTGAGACTGGGATGGAGGTTCACCTTCCAGCAGGACAATGACCCTAAGCATACTGCTAAAGCAACACTTGAGTGGTTTAAGGGGAAACATTTAAATGTCTTGGAATGGTCTAGTCAAAGCCTAGACCTCAATCCAATTGAGAATCTGTGGTATGACTTAAAGATTGCTGTACACCAGCAGAACCCATCCAACTTGAAGGAGCTGGAGCAGTTTTGCCTTGAAGAATGGGCAAAAATCCCAGTGGCTAGATGTGCCAAGCTTATAGAGACATACCCCAAGAGACTTGCAGCTGTAATTGCTGTAAAAGGTGGCTCTACAAAGTATTCACTTTGGGGGGGGGGTGAATAGTTATGCACGCTCAAGTTGTCTGTTTTTTTCGTCTTTTTCTTGTTTGTTTCACGATAAAAAATATTTTGCATCTTCAAAGTGGTAGGCATGTTGTGTAAATCAAATGATACAAACCCCCCCCCCCAAAAAATCTATTTTAATTCCAGGTTGTAAGGCAACATAATAGGAAAAATGCCAAGGGGGTAAATACTTACGCAAGCCACTCTAAAATCAGTGTTTCCCAACTCTCTTGGTTTTTACCACCAGACTGACACATCTTTGTTCTACCCCTGCACTGACACCTGCTTTTGGCAGCACTTGTCTGACAGCATCACATACTTCTCCAGCCTCCAAGCCTGTTCACCCATAGTCCCCTGGGCTGAGTGGGCCTATGTTTAGGCATAAGGATACTGACTTCGGTGGTGGTGAACTGGTCTCTGAGGAAGTCCAGGTCTTCCTCCAGGGAGTCCAGGTTGCGCGATGCGGTCGCTAGGTTCTTCTCCAGAAGAGACTGGGCCTCGTCGATGTCATACTCCAACATCACATTGGCCTGGAAGAGGAGAGGGAGGAAAGAGAGGGGGAGACAGGGAGGTTAGAGTATTGAATGGTAATAATAATAATAATAATAATAATAATAATAATAATAGATTGTAGTTTTTAGAGACTAGGAATTGTCCCTAACAAAGCTCCATCTAGCCTTCATCTAAGACCTGACTGTACTCCTGCAGATCCCAAGGTACTCACCCCTAGCCACAGGCACACTTTATCAGTGGCCGGGACCAACGCCTTGCAGTAAACATTGTCAGCCAACAGGAAGTGCGTCTCCATCGGGTTTGTGGTTTCCTATTGGACGAGAGGGGGGGGTGAAACCCAACACTCTACAGTGGTTTCCTGTCATCAGTCCCTACCCCTCTGAAGGGTCTGAATAAGCAGCGTAGTAGTGGAGTTTCCAGCATACTGCTTATAGCTTGCTTACAGATCTGCAAACATTGAACAGTTAGGGCTAAGGAGGAGGAGTAGGAAGATAACGGGGATCGGCTGGCAAGGTCTGAGTAGAAAACAAAGTAAGTAAACAGCGCCACGTTTGTTTCTTTACCTTCTTCTTCTGCATGTGTCGTAGGATTTCTAGAGTCTGCTTGATCTGTGGGATCTGGCTTTTCAACCTGAGGATCGCAGAGAGAAACACCATCGAAGAAGAATTAGAATCATGGTATTACATGCATCTCAGGGTTTCCTTTAGCCGCTAAATGCCGGCTATTAGCTGATAAAATAAATTAAAAAGCAGATAAATAAAACTGTAGCCTGGCCGGGGCTGCATATCATGGGCTCCACCCCGATTTCGCGCTTCTGCACCATTCTCTGTCTTATGTGCATGCTGTTGTGAGAGAGAGAGACAGAGACAGAGGTAGAGAGAGAGAGAGAGACAGAGAGAGGTAGAGAGAGAGAGAGAGAGAGAGAGAGAGAGAGAGAGAGAGAGAGAGAGAGAGACAGAGAGAGGAGCCTTGGGCTACTGTTGACTGTGAAGGAGTGGGGGCTTTTTTATTGAAGACTTGCCTCATTCAGTCACATAACACGCTCTGCAGGTGTGGCTACATCGCATGCGCCGAATACATTTTATTCAACCACTGAAAACCTTCCCACTTGCCGGCCAACAGATTTTGTTATCTTAAGCATTCCCTTTAAATACGGTGTACCTTTTAGTTCGAATTTTGTCGACAGACTAAAATATATTGAGAGAACGTGTTCAGAATACTAGGGCCATCGATAAAATGAAATTGTGTTCGTTGTCCGTAGCTTATGCCTGCCCATACCATAACCACACCGTCACAATGGGGCATTCTGTTCACAACGTTGACATCAGCAAACCGCTCGCCCACACGATGCCATACACATGGTCTGTGGTTGTAAGGCCGGTTGGATGTATTGCCAAATTCTCTAAAACGACATTGGATGTGGTTTATGGTAGAGAAATTAACATACAATTCTCTGGCAACAGCTCTGGTGGACATTCCTGCAGTCAGCATGCCACTCAAAACTTGAGACATCTGTGGCATTGTGTTGTGTGACAAAACTGCACATTTTAGAGTGGGCTTTTATTGTCCCCAGCACAAGGTTGTGCACCTGTGTAATGATCATGCTGTTTAATCTGCTTTTTGATAAATTAAGCAAATTAAGGTAAACAAAACAATGTAATTAAATGGAATGATAATGTAGACCAGGGTTGCCCAACCCTGTTCCTGAAGAACTACCCTCCTGTAGGTTTTCACTCCAACCCTGTTCCTGAAGAACTACCCTCCTGTAGGTTTTCACTCCAACCCTGTTCCTGAATAACTACCCTCCTGTAGGTTTTCACTCCAACGCTGTTCCTGGAGAACTACCCTCCTGTAGGTTTTCACTCCAACCCTGTTCCTGGAGAACTACCCTCCTGTAGGTTTTCGCTCCAACTCCAGGTGTTACTAACCCGATTAATCTCATCAACCTGCTAATTATTAGAATCAGGGGTGCTAGATTAGGGTTGGAGCAAAAACCTACAGGACGGTAGATCTCCAGGAACAGGGTTGGGCAGTCATGATGTAGACTACACCAACTGAAGGGAACTAACAGTAAATTGGCAGTTAAAATATTTGTGGTTATTAGGCCTACTGACGGTCGATACCGATAGTGGCTAATATTTAACATGTTAAAAATAGGAAACAGAGGAAGTCAGGGGTAGCCAATCCTGCAAGTTAAAAGGCCGTACAATTTAAATTCTGCATAACGGAACAGGATTTCATCAACTTTACTACGGGAAAGTTGCTATGCTTCAGTTTGCTGCTGTATGACTGGTTTCACATTGGTCTCCAACGATTATAAGGTAAAATATATCTAAAACAAGTGTCATTTATATGTACAATCTCCTTATCCAAATGGCTTACTCATTTACCTAGCTCTTATCAATACCGCTTATCAATTTGTAAATTACCGTGCATGGAGAATGCTGTTTTTTCTATCGGAAAAATTAAATAAGTGCTTTTTCCACTTGGAACCGTTAGGATTGCTAGACCTTATTCATGGTTTCCTTCGCTCGTAAAGGGTGTGGTGGAATTATGAGGTGAATTTAATCAAGGTCAGAATACGGTGTATCTGTAGACACCTTCATTTATTCAATCTCCATGCTATTCTCATGCTTAAGTTCATGGTTTGAATATGCATTGAGAAAAAAAGTGCACATAAAGGGAAATGCGATCCATTTACGCGCGGTTAACTCTGGTCGGAATTTCCCCATTGTGAAAGCCTACAAGGGGATTTTCCTCTCTATGGACAAGTGTTAATACTGTAGTGGAGAAAGATGAGAAGAGCGTTGCCGTGGCTACTGTACAACTTGCTTTTCATAAATTAAGCAAATTAAGGTCAACAAAACAATGTAATTAAATGGAATGATAATGTAGACCAGGGTTGCCCAACCCTGTTCCTGGAGAGCTACCCTCCTGTAGGTTTTCGCTACAACTCCAGGTGTTACTAACCTGATTCATCTCATCAACCTGCTAATTATTATCCTCTCTATGGACAAGTGTTAATACTGTAGTGGGAGAAAGATGAGAAGAGCGTTGCCGTGGCTACTGTACAACTTTTCAGGTATGATGCAATTTTGGAACTATTTTTTCTTATTTATAATAATTTGTTTTATCATTATTATATATCACTGTTATTATTGTAGGCCTATTCATTCATCTAAAGATGTTTTGTTTCATTCTGTTGAGACATTTGTTGGCTAAATTAAGTTTGATCTGTCTTTTTAATTGTGTGTTCCGTATTTAGTTTAAGTTATAAGAAGGCCTGTTGTAAAAATAAATATCATTAGCTTATTGCTGTCAATTGTTGGTTACGGTAGGCACTAGGCTCTCTTGGTTATTGCTGCAATATAGCCTGGTTTAAATCAATTTATTTTGGCCAAATTAAGTTCCAACTGTACTGTGTTTGCCACAATATACAGTATCTCACAAAAGTGAGTACACCCCTCACATGTTTGTAAATATTTGAGTATATCTTTTCATGTTACAACACTGAAGAAATGACACTTTTCTACAATGTAAAGTAGTGAGTGTACAGCTTGTATAACAGTGTAAATTTGCTGTCCCCTCAAAATAGCACAACACAGAGCCATTAATGTCTAAACCGCTGGCAACAAAAGTGAGTACACCCCTAAGTGAAAATGTCCTAATTGGGCCCAAAGTGTCAATATTTTGTGTGGCCACCATCATTTTCCAGCACTGCCTTAACCCTCTTGGCCATGGAGTTCACCAGAGCTTCACAGGTTGCCACTGGAGTCCTCTTCCACTCCTCCATGACGACATCACGGAGCTGGTGGATGTTAGAGACCTTGCACTCCTCCACCTTCCGTTTGAGGATGGCCCACAGATGCTCAATAGGGTTTAGGTCTGAAGACATGCTTGGCCAGTCCATCACCTTTACCCTCAGCTTCTTTAGCAAGGCAGTGGTCGCCTTGGAGGTGTGTTTGGGGTCGTTATCATGTTGGAATACTGCCCTGCGGCCCAGTCTCCGAAGGGAGGGGATCATGCCCTGCTTCAGTATGTCACAGTACATGTTGGCATTCATGGTTCCCTCAATGAACTGTAGCTCCCCAGTGCCGGCAGCACTCATGCAGCCCCAGACCATGACACTCCCACCACCATGCTTGACTGTAGGCAAGACACACTTGTCATTGTACTCCTCACCTGGTTGCCGCCACACACGCTTGACACCATCTGAACCAAATACGTTTATATTGGTCTCATCAGACCACAGGACATGGTTCCACTAATCCATGTCCTTAGTCTGCTTGTCTTCAGCAAACTGTTTGCGGGCTTTCTTGTGCATCATCTTTAGAAGAGGCTTCCATCTAGGACGACAGCCATGCAGACCAATTTGATGCAGTGTGCGCCGTATGGTCTGAGCACTGACAGGCTGACCCCCCACCCCTTCAACCTCTGCAGCAATGCTGGCAGCACTCATACGTCTATTTCCCAAAGACAACCTCTGGATATGAGGCTGAGCACGTGCACTCAACTTATTTGGTCGACCATGGCGAGGCCTGTTCTGAGTGGAACCTGTCCTGTTAAACCGCTGTATGGTCTTGGCCACCGTGCTGCAGCTCAGTTTCAGGGTCTTGGCAATCTTTTTATAGCCCAGGCCATCTTTATGTAGAGCAACAATTCTTTTTTTCAGATTCTCAGAGAGTTCTTTGCCATGAGGTGCCATGTTGAACTTCCAGTGACCAGTATGAGGGAGTGTGAGAGCGATGACACCAAATGTAACACACCTGCTCCCCATTCACACATGAGACCTTGTAACACTAACGAGTCACATGACACCGGGGAGGGAAAATGGCTAATTGGGCCCAATTTGGACATTTTCACTTAGGGGTGTACTCACTTTTGTTGCCAGCGGTTTAGACATTAATGGCTGTGTGTCACATGAAAAGATATACTCAAATATTTACAAAAATGTGAGGGGTGTACTCACTTTTGTGAGATACTGTATATCCTGCTCGTATTTTCCCTATAAACAATGGATTGACTTACTTTTGATATTACCTTAATAAAGTTTAGAAACTTTTGCGAAGGTTTGGTGTGGCTGTTAGCCTAGTATACTGCAGGACTATGGTATGAAGGCAGTGGGCACCGGCGCTTCAACTGACTCCGACAGTTGAACTTGAGGTGAGGAAGAATGCTTCAGGCCTGCCAGAGTTAAAATACAAATATAATGCTTATTTAAAAAAATTCAGATAGAAAATTAACAAATTAACCTCCTTCTGTACGCCTATATCTGTATACCAAACGCCGTAGCCTATCTGACAAGAATAAATAAATAAAACATTTTTTTTTTCTTTTTTCTGGGGGATGGATCAGCTTAATATTGCAGATAGAAGATACAATCTATCAATGTAATTGTCTGCATCACTTCCAATCCCCCATGTTTTTTTATATATATACTCCCCTTTATTACTTTTCAACCCTGCCATCCTTTCCCTACTTGGAGTAAATTAGTGAACAACAATGCCCAGGCCTCTACTTACAGCCTATACTTACTATCTACACATTATGGACACAGTTCATCTTACAATAATTATATTCTATATATATATATATAATTATTATTTTTTTTGCTCCTGAACTTCTTCTACTCTCAACCTCTCCGATCATTTTCATG